GTGTTGTTTGGTGGGTTTCAGAGTGCTTCCATCTATTTTCTTATTTTGGCCTCATCACTCTGAGAGGGGGGCAGTGATTTTATCTGTTTTGCACAGAGAGGATAAGTGATTTGTCCAAGGCTGTGCTGCCAGTAAATGGTAGAGTCTCCTGAGGCCCAGTTTACTCCTTCCCACTGAACCATGTTGTAGAGAACATGCCATCACTAGAAACATAGGTGTTCATTATATCTCTGTGCTTCTCTGGTTTTCAGTTGCATAAGCATACAGCCCAGAGCAAATCTCTCTAGCACGTAGGACTTGTTTCCTTCTGTTCTACCTTTGATAGCACTAAGGAGTTTCCTTGAAACATCCCCTTTTCACTTAAGAAGAGAAAGGGAAGAACCAGTGTTTGTCCAGTGGTGACCATTTCAGTCATTGTGCTAGGTTAGGTACAGTACATTATTATCTCACTGAATAACCTCATAAGAGCTCTGAAGTGATGTCACTGACCCGCCCTCTTCAGTAGGTGAAGAATCTGAGCCTCTGACATCTTCATATGGTAAATGGCAGTCAATTCAAATCCAGGTCCATCTCACTTGTACATCCATGTCTTTAAACTGCCTCAGGCTACTCTTTGGGGCACTTAGTGGTTGATGTCATGGCTGATAAAAGTTATTAGATGACACACTCACTTGAATGGGTCCCAAGAATACAGTAATAATACAGTAAGAGATACAGTAACACGTCATCAAATCACTAGGCTTGTGAGATTAAATATGGGGGAGAAATACAATCCTTCAACAATAAGTTCCTTCACAATGTGGTTAGGAACTGTTTTGTTCTCTCTTACTGGTGCCAGTCTATAATAAGTGATTAGTTTGATTTCTATCAGACAATGTGTGGCTATCCCAGGGCCTCTAGTTCTGTTATAAATTAAGAAACTAGAATTTAATTTCACAACTAATGTTCAGAGTTTAATGCTGCCACTGAAAGAGACCCTAGGATCTCAGGTCAAGACCTGATTCCTCAGTTGGCCAAGGACTTCAGCAAGGCCATCCAAATCTACAAGAAGTAAAAGGCAGTGTGGCTCCTCAACTTTGTTATTTTACCAGACACTGGCTACCTCCAGTGACTGCAAGTTAAAATTGAACTTTCATGGAATCTTTGCAGCAGTGTGAACTATATTCCCTTGCTCAGGCAAGACCTTTGGTAGACCATTTGGCCTTGATCTCAGGAAGCCAACTCATTTCTTTGCTACAGGCGGGGCCAGTGAGCTAACAATTACTGAGTTTACTCTATGTCAGCTATAATGCCTGCATGTCTACCAGTCCTGGGAGACTGGTCTTAACCCCTTTTATAGACAAGGAAACTGAGATCCAGAGAGGAAATAACTTGCCCAACATCACGTTTCGGTTGATGGTCTTTGCCAAGCTTTTCCAGGCAGTGTTTCTTCTGTTGGACATTGGGCTTCGAAATGGTGTCAGATCCACTTTCCTGCATAGGGAAACCTGTACCAGCAGTTAGTCCTTCCACACAGGATACCTGAGTGAACCCAGGTAAAATGATTCCACCGGAGGAAAAGGTACCCAGGGCCTTGAGAGGCATAAAAGACTACCTTGTCATTTTGATGGCACAGGTGGAACCTAAAGCTCTCAGACCTGATGGAAAATGGGTATATTTTGGTGGCCGAGGCTAGGAGGTCCCAACGCAGACCGGTAGTTCTGAGGATGCCACAGAGTCTTAGTAAGTCAGGAGTAAGAATTTGGCTTATGAATTCAACAACAGGAGCCATCTTTTGAGGTTCAGGAAGGGTTTTCATGGATTTACTACAAAAATTAGTTTTTCTGGCCTTGAAGAAAATAGAATTTGTAAGTTCAAGGTTTCAATCTCAAAGAGATTTAGCAAGTGTAAGTGCCGGAGTGTCCTCAGCAAAAGGAACTGGTTCCCATTGTCCAAAGGAAAGCTTTCAGAGTCCCTGTGGCCTTGGGCACACTTGGCCGAGCCTTTGCAGAATTCAAGGTACTTAAGGATCCCTAGGCATCATCCCCAGAGACTGGGTCTGCAGTCAAGGTCTAGAAATCATATTTCCAGACATTTCCTAAGTGGTGAAGAGCAGCCAAGTTAGAGAACTGCTGACGTAGGAAATGGCATGAGAACAGGTGCTCCGGCCCAACAGGGGAATAGTCTCGAACCGATGATGCGGGAAGGGGAGGGTAGTTTGAAAAAAACATAGTTCATATAACTACCAAAAGCAAAGCTTGGCTGATGGGGGCACCAGAGGTAAAGTGAGGAAACCTGATAGGATCATGGGTTTTTAAAGGCAAGTAACAGCTAAATAGAGGCTCTTCTCTAATCTTCAAACAGCATTTCCATCAATAGGGTATCCATGCGAGATGTCTGAAATGGGGCACATGTGGGGAAGGACTCAGAACCTGGGCAAGAATATGAAAAGATGCTTTTTACCTATACCTGTTTATAGCCAGGATTAGGTCCCCTGTTAGCCAGAGGAAGAACTGTGGGTTCTGAGCTGACCTCTCCTGGGCTCGGTATCCCAGCTCAGGGCCTGAGCTGATGTCCTGCACGGAAGTCTGGCAGCCTGCGAGGAAGTCAGTAGGCTCAGCTGGATGGAGAAAGAACAGAGTAGAGGAGCCACCCTTACCTGCTCAGGAAGTTGTACAATTGCAATTTCATGAAGTTGCTTCACCTCACCTTTTCAAATTTTTTCCGAGATGAACGGGTTATGCCCTGCTTTGTTTTTTTGTTTTTTGTTTTTTTAAAGACCCTAGTCTTCACCTTACAAGAGAGTTATCTTCTGTGTCATTTCTTGGACGCTATAGCACTGTTCTTTTCATTGTTACTTAATATAAATTGACTAGTGGCCCGTGCACGAATTTGTGCACATTGAAAGGAAATTAATTGGAAGAAATATTTTAATATCGCTATTCACCCTTTCTCTATAATAGAAGTATCAACCAAATTCACGATCGACAATGACAGATGGAAACACACGTGTGCAATTGGCACCAGCAAGAGCTTTATATGTATCGCGCATGCGCGAGTCAACTTAGCCTTTTATATATAGAATAAACTTGCTTAATTAGTCCTGCTTTCTGATTTAGCTAAACTTTTTCCAGCCCAGTGAAGCACCCCAACTTCTCTTTCAGGTTAATTGTCAGCAACACAGCAGTAAATATCAACACAAAGCAGATTATTATTGTAGATCACGCAGGGAGAACAAAGGGTAAAATATTTAACTGCAGCAGTGTTTGACTATATTCTGCGCAGTGAGAAAACCTGAAGTCATTTTCAAGGTCCATTTCTTCTTTTCAGTCGGGTCAAGTTTCTAAGCTTTCTAAATCTCCATTTTCCTAATGAAAAGAAATAAGATTCCACCGAGTCTCCTATCTATCTACTCCAGCACTTCTGTGAGGATCAAATGAGATGAGACACGGGAAAACGCTTCACAGACATTTGGTTACAGTGTAAAGTGTTTCCATCTGCCTATAAAGTCATGTCCCTGGGCTGAAGAAACTGCAAGGAGGCTAGTTGCTAGGGAGAGGAAGCTGGGCGTTACTATGTGATGTCATTACGCGGATGGTCGGACACTCAGCATATTAGCCTTTTATATATATGGATGACCATTTAGGTAGTTTTACATCCACATCAACTTTTACCACGCCTGCTAAATTGGTCATAAATATTTGCTTAAATTGTCCTTTATCCTGATGAACCAAACCAAGACCAGAGAACCAACGATAGAAGAGATTTCCTGTCTGCCATTAAACAGAGAAAAACAGGAACAGGAAAAATGTAAATGCATAGCATAAACCCTCCTTGCAGGTTCTCCTTTAGTTAGCCGTGCATTGAACATAAATAAACGTTTGCTGTCAGCAGTAGTGATGGGCTGCTGGAACAGACCTGTTGACTGCAGATACAGTGACAAGTAGCTGTAGTTAATCTGAGTGTAGACAGTCATGCTTTTTGCTCAGATGTTTTAGCAGATGATAGAAAATAAGAGCAATTTATTTCATTCAGCACATACACATAGGTCATCTGGGCAGAATATGCATCAGATCAGAAGGGAGCCTTCTTCTGACCTGCGAGGGGCTGCTGTGACTTGGAGCACTTAGCGTGGCTGCAGCCCCTTGCACCTCTTTAGGATATGCTTTTCCGGAGGCCTAGCCCGGGAACCCTGGGTACTGAGTGTTGGGGAAGAGGGTGAATTCAGATGAACTATCACTGTGACTTCTGTTTGGGACCGCAGTTCCTTTGTTGGAAAGAAGTTCGACTGCCCTGTGGAGTTGGGAACCCCCGGCCAGGCTTACCACCTCCAACGTCTCTCTAATGCGGCTCTTGGGAGCTGTACACAAAGGTGAGGCGCAGTCATCACTTGTTGGGTTCTGTTGCTGGTTCCAAGCTTTGGGAGAATTTTTTTACTTTAGCCGTGACTGTTACGTAACGCACGGCTAAACAAAAGAGAAATGTGCTGTCTTCCTGCTCCTCTGTTTGCTTTCAGTCTGGAGTCTGACGTCATCAAAAGCACCAAAGTTAATAAAGTAGTAGCTGCCATTTCTTGAACAGCTTTCGGTTTTTAATGCCTACCCCGCCTCTCTGCCACCTACACCATGTCTCCCTTGCCCACATTGTCCCAAAACCAGGAGGACTCTAAACCTAGGTTAACCAATCAGAGGTATTAGTCTCCTCCTCAGTAAGGATTTTAACCAAAATCCCAGAAGCCAGAGTAACAATTGTTTAAAACTGAGGTCTTCTAGACTTTAGCCTTTTCATCTGTTTACGTACATAACCAGTGCTACGTAAATTCTTTGAGTCACGGTTCCACCGCCCCAGCTAACGGAGAGCTCGCAGGTCAGCCTCAGTCACAGGTCCGGCATCCGTTTCTTTCTCAACAGGCTGGATCAAGTGCAGCACCACCGTGAAGAGTGGAGTCGGTGGCGTCACGATGCTCTTCACTGGATACTTCATTCTTTGTTGTAGCTGGAGTTTCAAGCAGCTGAGTAAGCCTTTCTATATTTTTAGCCTCGATTACAGGTCACATCCCGTTACAGGGACCTCCCAGGGATCCTCCGACTGCTTTTTATAGCGTTACAGCTTGGCTCTGTCTGAGTGCCCTGGTGGATGAGCTAGTGCCTGAGGCGCTGGGGTTCTTTCTATTAAAAGGTTTGGGTTACAGTGGCCTTTGTGACTAGATTTACATAATTGCTTCTGTGCTCGGTTAAGGTTGTTATGGAGATCTGTTTGCCCCTGGAAGATGGGGCTCTTCTCAGGGGTGCCTTTTTATTTCCTACCTAAGAACTTTTTTTTAGGATTAAAACCAGCTTTCTGCCCCAAAAGAGGGGAGAAACAGGATACAGCTGTCAGTCACCAGCTTGTAGCTGTCACAGGCACTTCCCGCTGGGTCGGCACTTCCTCTTGTGCCAAATGCTTAGTTCATTTCTCTTTCAGTTCAAGATGACTTTTGCTCATTTTTTAATGTATTATTTTATAAAAACATATGTTTATAGTTAAAAGTTTAAAAAAACATGGAAAGATATTAAAAGAGCCCAGTATTTTTCCCACAATTTTTTAAAAAAAGAGGCCCAACACTTTCAGATGAAAACTTTCGGTGGAAAAGTACAAGGTACCCATTAACATGAATAGCCAATAGAATTCCCAAACATCTCAGTTTAACAGCATGATCTGTAGAGAGGAGAGATAAAGAGTCGATTCAAGTGGCCTCCCAGATCCTTACATTTATCTGTTTATCCAAAGAGCTTGGCTGGCGGAAGCAACGTTGACCCGAGCACCACGGAGAGTGCACTGGAGAGGACTCTGGAGACGACTGCAGGCACGGTTCACAAGTTCAAGTTGTGTCGGGGCATAAGAGGGAGAGAAAGAATAAATTATTGAATGGAAAGCAGTCATTAGGAGTATGTTTTTTTTACATGTGGACAGATCTGGTTCTGTCTGGGTATTTCTTTGGCTTGCTCTCAAAAGTCACTGAAAGTTACCGGGAAAAATCAGTATGTTTGTTCATAAAGGCTGATGTTATTCAAGGAGACGTGATGATGACAAAGTTTATCGTTAAATTTTTAATGATTTCCCAATCTTCTGTGAAGACTAATATCTCCATCTTAAGTCTCTCTGCCTAAAATTCTGTACACTTTGACATATTACTGCTATTCATCTACACTAGATACTGAGCTACATATATACTGATATAGAATAACTAGTGGCCCAATGCACGAATTCGTGCACATTGAAAGGAAATTAATTGGAAGAAATATTTTAATATCGCTATTCACGTTTTCTCTATAATAGAAGTGTTGACCAAATTCACGATCAATGCAATTGGCGCCAGCGAGAGCTTTATATGTATTGCTCATGCGTGAGTCAACTTAGCCTTTTATACGTATAAAATAAACTTGCTTAATTAGTCCTGCTTTGTGATATCTACCTACTCCAGGACTTCTGTGAGGATCAAATGAGATGAGGCACGGGAAAACGCTTCACAGACATTTGGTTAAAGTGTGAAATGTTTCCACCTGCCTATAAAGCAAGTTGTATTTCTGGGCTGAAGAAACTGCAAGGAGGCTAATCATCACTAGGGAGAGGAAGCTGGGCGTTGCTATGTGACATCATTACCCGGATGGTTGGACACTTAGCATATTAGCCTTTTATATGTACAGTAGGTCCTTGGGTTACATCGGAGATTCATTCCTATGGCGTGATGTAACACAATTTTCGCCATAAGTCGGAACCCACCTACATAAGCACCTATGTCATTCACATGGAGCACATACACAGCAGTAATGAAGTGAAACAGTAAAAAAATTTTAAAAGAAATCAGATAATGATTCCTGACTTGTACTTGTGGTAAATAAATAATAAAAAACATAAAGCACATATGTACATACGTCAAAATGACAGAACTTTTTTTTTTATCAATAAATGGGAGATAGCGACATAACCACCAAACGACATACATCGAGTTTGACGTAACCCGAGGACTGCCTATATAGATAGCTGCATTGGCAGAAAATCTGCATACATTGGCCCTTCCCCTCGGGAATGGTTTGGCCCTCAGATCTGGGCAGGTTTGAGAAACAAAAGCAGAGTAGGGTGGGTGCAGAGTTGCTGGCCGGCCTGTGAAAGGTTCTTGACGTATTTGTAAAGCTGCTGCAAATAGTGCACTAAGAAGAATGTTGACTCACCTCTTGTACATCTTAAGTGACTACAGCAGTGAGCAAATGGTTTCAGTTTATCCTCTCGTCCTGGAAACATGAATCCTGCCCTATCCCTGTTCAAGAACATTCCTTTCACTCTGTTAGGGTTGTTTGGGGCTGATGGGTTTTCCGTGACTCTTCCCCCATCAAAATATTCAGTTTTCTAATTGTATGACTTCTGTTTTGGTCCCTAGAGAGTAACTTGGATACTTACAGATAGAAAAATGTGTCTATAAATATCCAAAACAGATAACTTTCTTCAGCCCCTTTTCTAGCACAGGGGGTGATTATATATCACATATAGATATGCCTGTACCTAAAAAGTATGTTTATGTGTGTGTGTGTGTGTTACCACTTCTGTATATATATGAAAGGCTAGTATGCAAAGTGTCCCCTTGGGAGTTCCACTGGGAGACTGGGAGTTCAATTGCTTGCTATGATGTGTGCTGACCACCACTGGGAGACCGGGAGTTCAATTGCTTGCTATGATGTGTGCTGACCACCAGGGGGCAGCACAGAACATGGGAACCTGATCGCTGGCCAGGCCTAGGGACCCTGCCCGTGCGTGCACGAATTTCGTGCACCGAGTCTCTAGTCCGGGCCTCTAGAGTGTGTGTGTGTGTGTGTGTGTGTGTGTATGACCCCTGGTCTGCCATTTCTTCCTGAATTATGAATTTTCCTACTTACTCTCCATACCTGCTTCCACCCTATGCTGCTGCTCCTCTGATTATTTGCCTCTTCCAGACCCTCACCTGTGTCCTTGGACAAGTTACCTCCTTCTTGGAGCCTCCTTGGTCTAAACCAGCGGTTCTCAACCTGTGGGTCGCGACCCCTTTGGCGGTTGAACGACCCTTTCACAGGGGTCGCCTAAGACCATCCTGCATATCAGATATTTCCATTACAATTCATAACAGTAGCAACATGACAGTTATGAAGTAGCAACGAAAATAATTTTATGGTTGGGTCACAACATGAGGAACTGTATTTAAAGGGCCAGAAGGTTGAGAACCACTGGTCTAGAGATTTGGTGAGATTAGAAGTCTGGCACCTGTTAATTCCAGCAAGGTTGGACAGTAGGAGTTAAAACAGCAGCTCTTCTAAAGCCTCTGCTGGTGTGTTCTGTTCGGATTCTAAACTTGAACCAAGCAAGAGAGAGCCCACCATAACCCACACAAAAGTGCAGCTGCCATTGGGTGCTCGCCCTGTGAGAGCCAAGTGCTGTGTGGGCTCCTTGGTGCTGCTCCCCCTTTCTCCACTCCCGTGAGGCAGGTGCTGTTGTGCTCATTTTCCGAATGAGACTTGGGGAGGGTAAGGTGCCTACATAACTGTGTGGTACTTGTCACAGAGCAGCCCCGGAGGAGCTGGCAATTGGGCCTCCCAGACCCGTCTCCCAGGGCCAGCATTCTCTCAGGCTGCCTCACCCTTTCGCTCCCGCTCTGGCAGGTAGGGAGCTGTCTCCACTGCCAAGGGCAGGCCTAGTTCTGCCGAACGCTCTATATTGTACTCCCTCTGTCCCATAATAATAGTAGCAAGTGAATATTTAAACGGGAATTATTGGCGAATGCAGCTGTAAGTTATGTTGTAGCGCAAAATTGCGAAGCCTTCAAAATCAATGTTTCATGACATCTGTCATTTGTTTTGACGCATCTTTCAATTTTTAGGTTAATCTAATTATTACGAATTATAACTTTTTCTAATTTCATCTGCTGATCGAAATCAACTGTTTTATTTCAGTTGAATATCAACCCATTGTAAAAGTAAGATGAAAAAAAGTGAGTTTTCAAGCAAAGATTGAGTTACGATTGTCCAGTTCTTGATGCATCAAAAGAAAAAGGAAAAGTTGCAGAAAGGTGCAATTACGTTAGCTGCAAAACAATTTAAGTGCAACAGAATGACCATATCAAGAATTTGGAAACGTGCTTCCGAAAATAATTGTCAAGGAGAATCTTAGGCTAATGTTGATTCTTTGAAAAAACAAAACTGTGGGCGTAAATGCAAAGATTATGGAGAAAAACTTGAAAAACTTAGACATATTCCTCTTAGCAGAAGAGGCACCATATTAGCCTTTGATAATATTTCTCCCCAAATACTGGCTAATACGTTTCTGTCACTTCAACAAGTTATGCTGGAAGCAATGAAGAACGATGGCTCCAATAATTTTAAGCTCACACATATAGGGAAAGCAAAGCTTCGCAGCCAAGGGCTCCTACCTACAAGTTTAACATGCAGTAACGAAATTATTGAAAAATCCAGAAACTAACTGAACACTCAAAATAAAAATTAGGAGTACTATTTTTAATTTATTGTGTAATCTAGTTTTTTGATAATAAATGTTGCGTTCTATATTTTCTTCTGCTACTATTATGGGACAAATTACATTCATCAACTGCTATTATTATGGGACAGAGGGAGTAGCTCTTTCCTCCGTTTCCCCAAAAGGCACAGCTTAGTGCCCCCATTCCTCCCAGCAGATTCAGTGCCTTAGTGTCGGCATCTACAGCCTTAAACTTTAGTTCCATGTCACCTCCTGCCTCCCTGTACAGGGGTAAGCCTTGTTCGTATATCTACCTCTCGGTACTTCCCCGCACAGGCAGGCACGAAGATAGCCTTAGACGTGAGCCACGCAGGGACGCAGCTGCGTGCTAAGGAGCCCTGCTCGCGTGAATTGCCAGTTGGTAGCAGCAGTGGAGGCTCGTGCACAGGACCTGCCCGCGCAGCCCCGACTGCTGCAGGCGTCCAGAGCAGAGCAGTGATGGCTCCCGGGTACTTGAGCTTCTGCTCTTGCACACCTGTTTCCTGCCACAGTCACTGCTTCCGGTCCTGTGGCACCTTCGGTAGCCCATTCACTGGCAGGATGGGCGGAAGTAAACCAACCTGAGCAGGCCCCTCTGTGCCGCACCGTTCAGGCCACAGCGGGCTCTCGGGACGTTGGGAACAGAAGCCCACAGAATGGGCATGGGGTCCTTGCTGGCAGGCCCCATGCTCCCCAGACAGCCCAGGGGCTGCATTCGGAGAGCTCTCACCTGTTCAGTCTGTGCATTTGATGGCAGAGTGGCCCATTTTTTCACACTGAAAGAGAAAAGGTTAGTGGCATTGGTTTTTGTCAATTCAGACCCCGAAAGAAAAACCCTAAGTTGTCCAGGGAACCAGAGGAGAAAGCTGGCTCCGCAGAACCTGGTGGCTTCTGCTCATCAGTGAGGCCCCAAACAGGCCTGGAGATTCAGGCCAGGCATCACTACCCCGGAGAGCAGGGCTGTGGACGCTCAGGCCAGGAAGTCGGATGTGGGAGGAGGGCGAGGGTCTGCCCTTACCTCTCACCCTGACGGGACTGACTGGCAGAACAGAGAGGTCAGAGTTCAGGACAGTTAGAGGCATCGCATGAAGGTGTGAGGAAGCATGATGTCCTGATAAACCAGAGAACAGCAAAACAGAAACCCAGGTGTGGCCTGTCCTCCCTGCCCACTCTGCCCCCCAAATCCTACGGACACTGTACACAAATAACTCCAGAGGACTCGTAGGCAGCAAAATAAGACATGGAAACTTACTAGCCTTTTTAAAAAATATATATTGTATTGATTTTTATAGAGAAGAAGGGAGAGGAATCCAGAGTTAGAAACATTGATGAGAAACTGATCAGCTGGCTTCTGCACGCCCCCTACTGGGGATTGAGCCTGCAACCAAGGTACATGCCCTTGGCCGGAATCGAACCCGGGACCCTTCAATCCACAGGCCGACATTCTATCCACTGAGACAAACCAGTCCGGGCTTTACTAGCCTTTTAAAGAAATATGTCTGGCAGCAAGAATAAGATTAGGCAGTTGTCACGCCCCTGTCATACATTTGGGGTACCATTGTCCCCCTCCCTTCACTCCCACTCCCAAGCCCTGGTGCGGCTTTCTTATCTGGCAGGAGAGGACTCACACATTGTGCAGCTAATCACCCCGCCCTCCAGCCCTGGACAGAAAACAACCTGAAACCCCCGCCCCCTCCCCCGCATCCTGCTGAAGGGCCCTGCTCCTGCGCCCGGGCCCCCAGGCAGTAGGAAAGCAGCTGCTCCTGAGGCGCCATCGGAACGGGGAGAAGCAGGCACCCCATCGGGAAAGGGGGCTTTCGAGGTGGCCGGATAGAAGCAGGGGGGGCTGAGCCCCAGGGCCAGGTGAGCTGCAGATACAGGGGACGCGGGAGAGTACGGTACAAAGAGCTCCTGCAGACATTCCTCTGTGCAGACGCAGCCCCTTCTCACCGAGGGTGCGGCCCCTGCCAGGCCTTCAGGCAGAAGCCAGGCTTTGAAATGCCTTTATTTACCATTCTCACTGCTGAAAACACAACATTTGACCAAAGTTAGAAATGGGCCTATGAATTCCCCACCTTCTAGGGGAGATGCTACTCAGAACCAGCAGGGGGCGCCCTCCTCCCGCCCATTGCCATCCCAGCCTGGCCAGCCAGTGAACAGGAGCTCAGCAGCCATCATTCCTCGGTCCAGGCTGCCCGAAAACCAGGAAGGGGAGGGGGAGCAGGCTTGGCCCGCGGGCCGTGGTGTACCGACCCTCCTGGAGGCCGTCAACCGCACCTGGCGTCCACAGGAAGTGCTGTTCCCCCAGGGACCCCACGCCACCAGGGCCTGAAGCACAGTGCCTGGCCCCTGCTCTTTAACACCACGCCCCTGTGAGGAGCGAAGGGGAAGGGGGAGGGGAGGCCTCGGGGCTGAGAGCTGACCAGTCCCACCTGAAGCAGAGGTTACAGAGCTGGAGGGGCCTGGGAGGAACCGCCACACGTATGTGCCACCCATGCAAAGGCGTGTGCCTTCCCCAGGACGGGGAGACGGCAGATGGTGTGAGTGAGGGCAGTGGGGACAGGCAGTGCTGGGGACTCCAGGTCCCCGGGCACAGTGAGTAACTGGCGTGAGACACGGCCCTTCCTGCCCGCACTCACCTCGGGGCGTTGAGTTGAATAAAGGGACCATCTTGGGGCTGAGGAAGCAGAGAGAGACGTTACAGCCGGGCCGCTCACCATCGCCTGCTCTAACGTGAGGACCCAGGAAGGAGCCCAGACCCTCCCGGGGACGGAGGGAGGGCTGCAGAGAGTTCGGGCCCTCCCAACATCATTCCTACCCTTGTTTCGAGAACAGTCTGTGAAGAGCCACATGCCCGTCCCCGGCATGAACATACATGAACAGCCCGGGGCAGGGTTCCGTGTGGCCGAGGGAGGGGTGGGTGTCCAGGGAGCAGTGCAAGGAAAACCCTGGGCAGGTGCTGCCGGGCACTTCATCCCCCGCCTGGGTCAGGAGCTACGGAGGGACCCAGATCGGAAGCCAGAGAGCGGGCCCAGCACTGGGGATCACACTCACTGTGCGTACTGGCACTCGGGTCCCAGCGGGCAGAAGCCAACTAAGTAGTTCGTGCACATGACCCTCTTGACGTGGCGGTATTTGCACAGGGGACCTGCCAGGCAGAGAGAAACGGCCGGAAGCATCTGTGTTAGCAAAGGAGGAACACAGGCCAGGGATGGTCACAGCCGTCCACGCCACGGGTGTACAACTGCCTGCCCTGTCCGTACCGCCCTGAGCAACTGCTCCTAGGCCCGTGACAGATGGGAAGGGAAGCCCGGAAGGTGTAGGGTTGGAAGTGTCCCCAACACGCTGTCTTGAAGATGCAGACGGTCATTTGCCATCTCGTATTCCTTTAGCCATGGGAGGCGCAGCTGAGGCAAGGCTCACCCCACATCTCACTAACCCGCCATCGGCGCCCCTTCTCTGCAACCCCCCCCCCCAAAGCAACCCTGCCCAGAACTCAGCAACATACCTGAAGGCACAGGATGCTCAGCAGGGACCCTGCTGTGGTCCCTGTCCCCTCAGTGGCTGACTGTAATGGGGCAGGTGGAACGTGCTTAAGTGACAGGATACCCTCAGGTGGGTGAACTGTGTGCCCTACAGGCCCGGCCCTATGCCAAGGGCTCCCCGTGGGGTCCCCCATGGGAGCAGCCCGGCGACCCTAGAATGGAGCCGTCTCCTGTTTCCACAAGCGAGGAAGCAAGCAGTTCAAGGTTGTGCAGCCGACACACCCCGAAGCCATTGGGATTGCACCCACACCTGCTCCAAGAAGCCCGCCAGCCCACACCAGCCCACGTGTCACAGGGTGACAGGGTTCTCCTGGGAGCGAGCTGAGAACCATGGAAAGGACGTCTGCTGGGATTCCAACCCAGGGGTGGACCTCACCCCAACATGCCACCTCCCTGCCGGGAGACCGCCCACCTGGCCCCCCACACCCCCTCTGCTCCCTCTGTCGGGGCCTCACCTTCTTTGCAGAAACCCTGGTCGTACGAAGGACAGGCCTGGGCCTCGGAAGCTGTCTTCATGTGAAGAAAGTAGCATTCCTTGTTGCTGCACTCACCTGAAAACCCCAGCGATCTCTAGACAAGCGGGCTCGTGGTCACGGTTACCTCTGCCCCCCTCCCCCCACACACACAACATTGACCTTGCCCCTCGAATAGAAGCCCCTCGCCTTCCCTCTGGTCGTCAGCAGCTTTGAAGACAGGGAGGTGTTTCTAATCCTCCCTGCACTCTACCAAGGGCGGACCCCAACAGCATTTGCTAAGCAGGGTTTGGGGTGGTTGCACACACTTGGAGCGGTTGGGTGGGGCAGGCCCGGTACCCAGGAGTGGGGACAGGACTGAAGGCAGACGCCATCGGGGAGGCAGGAACGCGAGGCAAGGTGGGACCCGGGGCTGGCAGCTAAAGACCCAAGACGCCATAAACCTCGAGGGAGACAAGCACCCCCCGTGTGGCCCAAGGGCCCTGTTTTTCTTCCGAAAGGGAGAAAAACACCCTCAGATGTGGGGTCAGGGCTCTTGGCGGGTAAATTACCAAAGAGAGACGCCCCGTCCTTAGAGTTTATCCGAGGGAGAGAGACTGTGGGAGAGACACACCCCCCCTCCCACCCCGGCTCCCGGGAGTTTGCACACATTACTCGAGAGTTACTGGTAAGGACTCTCTTAGATGTCTCTTAGCGACCCAGGGGCTCTGAAGGCGCCACGGGGCAGGGAAGGGGGGATTCAGCCCATCTCCTGCCTCACTCAAGTCAAGAACTGAGGTTTCCCACCTCATCCTCCTTAAAAGCCTACAACTCTGTGCCTTTCGGCGCCAAAAGGTGCTCCGAGGTGCCTATGCCATTGGTTTTCAAACTGCTCATAGAGACCTGTTTCGTACACTGGGCTTCTGCAGAGCAAGGGCTCACCTGAAGGAGAACCCCACTGGCCCCTAAGAGGCCTGAGCCTCTGTTCTTGCCCAGCCCTCTCCTTTCACAAACGGAGATGCCAGTGACCAGACAGGGCAGGTGGGATGTCCATTTTCACAGGCTCCTCACATCGTAAGGGGGTTCGCTGTCTCATCGCCAGCGTGCATCTGACTCTGGGCTGGGCCTTCTAAGACATCCAAGGGACACCTGCCGCGTCCCCCCCCCCCCCCCCGCCTCAACCCCCTGCAGGGGCTGGTGAACACCGGATAGATGGAGACAGCCGGAAGTCACCCTATGCACTGGGGTTGCCTTTCTGCCCTGGATGCACAACGCTGCATTCCTCTCATGGCCAGCAGGTGGCGCCCGCACCTCACCCTCCAGAGACACCCGGGTGCCTTTTTGATGGGCACAGCCAGGAACAGGGTCAAAAGACCACAGATTTCCTCACCCCTCCCCACTCCTACACGCCCCAAGAATCTCTTTAAAAACAAAACGACTTACTTCCAACAAGAATGATAATTACTTTGGCATGCGGTTAGAAAGAGATATTCATTCATTTACTCCAAGAGCAAAAACATACATTACGTAGTATTGCAATCACGGGTTTACACGCGCAGAAGGGGACCTGGTCCTATTCCTGCATCCACGTCCAGCACAGCACCCCCCAATGAAAGCCAGGGTTACTGAAGGAGTCAATAGTGGTGCTTCAAAAGGAAAGAGGTTTACGCGGTGACCGAGGGGAGCCAGGCCCCAGATCAACTTTGTCCTGGAGGCACACGTGCGGGCAGCCCTCGTCAACTGCCACAGCTCTCAGCTCCGAGGACCAGGCAGGAAACGGATTGGGCCTGGGAGGAGCTCTCACCAGGACCTCCCCACCTGCCCCCAATGCTGGCTCAGTTTCACAGCCACAGCCACCGCCACCGCCACCGTCAGAGGCACCCCCGGAGGCTGTCCCAGCTCTCCCTCCTCCAGGTCACTCTTTTCAGATCACACTTTCAACACCACTGGACTAGACCATCCTTAAGGCCCCTGTTCTGGAAAGCACGGAGCTGTGGAATTCTAGGGAGAAGGAAATATTCACAGAGTCCACGCCTACACGAGGCAGGAAGCGGTGTGGGTCCTGCCCCGCAGCCCCTTGGATGACAACAGGAGGACCTGAGGCCCAGACCTGACCACACAAGATCATTTCAGGGGCTCCACTTCTGAGCCCCAGGGCTGTTTGTTTCCAGTTACCTTTTATTGCCAACGAGTGATGCTAGCTTTCCGTTTATGGACAAATATACAGTTTTCTTCTAAAGTGCGAGTTTAAAATAGCGAAGCAGTTGGGAAATTATACGCTGGTGCAGGTCAAAGGACAAGTGCTTGGTAGGAGTGGCGAGCATGGGAACGGGGCCCCCACATGCCTGCTGCTGGGGAACCACTGGCCTGTCCCCCCTCCCAAACCCCGGACCGAGAGATGGCCCGTTCGAGGCCGTTTCCGGACAGGGAGTCTGGGTGTGACTTAACCAGGGCGGCGGAGGGAAACGGCTCAGCCTTTGATCCGGCCACACCCGCTCCTTCCCTTGGGTGGGCAGTGTGTGCCCAGCCTGGCAGGGCCAGATAACCCAGGACCAGAGTTCAGTTCCACTTTCTCGAGGGCGTCGGTCGGAGAGGCAGGCGGCTGAGGCTCAGGCAGGCCTGACCTGCCCCCTGAGACACGCGAGGCCTCCTTTGGGGTCCCTCCCGAGCACCCCATCCCGCAGCCGCCGCCGCCATCGCCAGGGAACGGGCAGGAGCCAGGGGGCCTCACCGAACTTGGAGAAGAAGTAGCACTCAGGCATCCTGGAGAGGTCGTACTGGTGCAGGAACCGGCACTGGTCGCCCTTCTTGCACAGCCCGCGGAGCCAGTGCTTGCACACCACCGTCTTCTCGCCGTGGTCGTGCCGGAACGGGCACAGCCTCCCTGGGGACCAGAGCGCCCAGCTGGGAGCCCCCGCCACCCCCAGCTGCGGCCCTCTCACCCCTGGGCTCAGACCCAGCTGCCCGCTCTAATCCCCTCCCCTGGACCCTGGCGGTGGCTAGGACTGGGGGCCAGAGGCAACAGGGGGGACCTGCTATGGTCCGAAGAGATGGCTGTGCCCACGGCCACACCTTTGCCCGGACTTTCCTCTCTGCCTGGTGTGGTGCCCGTCAAACCCCAGGAAGCCCCCAGCTGTTGGGTCACCCCCTCTCCTCCAGGCTCACAGGGGGGCTCCCACCAGAGAGCAGAGGCATGGTCCCCAGGCCTGCCCCCTGCCCCCCACAGCACAGTCCCTATCACATAGTACGTGCTCATTAAGGGCCTATTGGGTTCATGTGTTAAAAAAAAAAATTATGCCTCCTGATTCCAGAGGCCTAAGGATCAGAAGGAAGCGGGAATGTGAGATTTAACTCTATCATCACCAGCACGCTGTTCCATCAGCAGGAAGGACACCCCAGGCCCCACATTTCTAAGGGGCCTGGTCTCCCGAATCTGGAACAGCTGGGCGGCCCCACACGGGTTCAGAGGACAAGCGTGGTCAGGCCCATGCAGGAGGCAACCAATCAATGTGTCTGTCATATCTGTTTCTCTCTCTCTCTCTCTCTCTCTCTCTCTCCCTCTCTCTCTCCCTCTCTCTCTCTCTCTCCCCTCCCCCTTTCTCTCTCCCTTCCATTCTCAAAAAAAAAAAAAGTCGCCCTAACCGGTTTGGCTCAGTGGATAGAGCATCGGCCTGCAGACTGAAGGGTCCCAGGTTCGATTCCGGTCAAGGGCATGTACCTTGGTTGCGGGCACATCCCCAGTAGGGCGTGTGTAGGAGGCAGCTGATCAATGTTTCTCTCTCATCCCTGTTTCTAACTTTCTATCCCTCTCCCTTCCTCTCTGTAAAAAAATCAATAAAATATATTTTTTTAAAAAGTCAATGGTAAAAATAACATCGGGTGAGGATTAAAAACAAAAAAATTCTACCCCATCCCGACTTCCCCTCCCCAGGTGCAAATTCAACACCCTCTTCAAGGCTACGCTGAGCCCAGAGTGGCCTGGACGCGGCCCACCTGCCGACCCACCTTTCTCACAGAGCCCCTTAGCGTAGAAGTTGCACACAGCTGAGCTCGACTCTAGAAGGGGGGAAGGAAACAGAGGCGGCAGCTTCCCCAGAGGGCCCTTCCTCTGTCAGCAACCTCCCCAAAGGCCCCAACCCCCACCCCGAGTCCTGCCTTTGGATGCTGGCCCCTAGAACCAGCCTCCAAACCTCAACACCTGAGTCCCCCCCCGAGTCTGCAACGGAGGGGCCTGAGGCCAGCCTGGGAGCTGGGGAGCCAGCCCTATTTTCCGGGGAACCCCACGCAGGATGTAGGAGGGGAGGCCCGAGCCCCTGGGAAGAGAGGGGCCGAGCTGGGAATCCCAGGCTGTGGGCCCCAGCTCAGCCCCCTGGTGAGCAGCAGAGCAAGGAGCCGCCCAGCAGATGCTGAGCAGAGAGGCCTGCGGAGCAGCGGGGAGGAGGAGGGAGAGGGGGAGGGACGGCTGGCGCCCTCCTCACTCACTGTCCATGCCCTGGAAAGGCAGGGGTTCAATGCCCTTTTGCATCTCTACGTCCTTCTCCAAGGTGAAGGTGAACCGCTCCAGCCCCGCAATGACCTCTTCCATCTTCCATCTCCTGCTGGGGCTGCTAGCAACTGCCCGAGCCCCTGCAGGTGGACCCTATAAAGCTCTGGAGCCCTTAAAGGGCCAGGGTCTGATCCGGGGCCAGGTGGCTGCCAGGCTACCCGCAGGCCCAGCTGTGCAGGAGCGGGGCCCAGCTGTGTCCCCCTCCCGCCCCCATGCAGGTGCAGCCGCCCCAGGGACCTCACCCCACACTGAGTGAGCTGGGGGAGGGATAGCAGAGCCCCACCCGCTCATCTCTGCTTGTTCCCAAACCCACACACAGCATATGCACCGACCTTCCCAAACCTGCGCTCATACTTTCAACATGAAGACACGGCCCAGGTTGGCCAGAGGAGCTGCGCGAACCAACCACAGCCAGGCTGTTCGGATTGGCAGGCGCTGGGGAGCCAGAGGGTGTGGGGGCGGGGCGGGGGCGCAGAGGGACGGGGGGGAGGGCCCTGCCTCCCCCTGCCTCCCCTCGGGCCCCAGCCAACCCCTCCCTCCGGGACTCCTGACACCCCTTTTCTGGCCTGAGTGACAGGCCCCAGTGAGCTCTTCCTGGGAGAGCGGGAAGCGCCGCTGAAACTCGGAGGAATCGGAAAAAGTTGGATGAATGGCGCTTTGTTCGCCTCGCGGCCTCGCGCACGACCGCACGCTGGGCTGGGGGCGGGGCCCATCCAGGCTCCACTGGCCTCCCCGCCAGCACTCGGCGGGGCCACCCCAGCGCCTCCCCGCCCCTGAGAAAGCGCTTTGTACCCGAAATCTCTATGCAAATGTTGTTTTATTATTATTACTACCCCCCTCCCCTGCCCCCTGGCCTGGGGACATCTGAACTTGCTTTCAAAGGAGCTTTGTGGGGCTCTAACTGGGACAGGCCTCCCCCGGCCCCTCCCCCGGCGCAGGCCCCCTCATTGGCTTCCCTCTAACTGGAGCTGGTGTTTGAGTCAATGGGAGCCCAGGCCCACAGAACCCAAATGCCCTCCTTCGCCGCAGGCAGAGGGGCAGCCCCTGCAGGCCCGCAGCTGGGCCAACAAGAAGGAGCCTGCTGGCTCCTGGCTCCCGGGCCTGTGCTCCTGGTTTGTTGTTCTTTGGAACTCCGATCCGAAAGGAAAACAGCTGGAGAGGTACACCCGAGGCCAGGGGGCAGGAGGGGCAGAGAGGGGAGCCAGAGTTTCCGGAAGCGTGGGCCTCCCTCCAGTCACATTCCCAGGATGGCCGGCAGAGGGCAGAGCTGGGGGCCGCGGGTGGGGGTCCCTGGAGAGATGCCCTATTTGTGTGCCCTGATTAGTCCAAGAAGATGCTCATCGGTCAACACAGGCTCCCCTAAGGCCCGCACCCACCTGGCAGGCAGGCAGGCAGGGGAGGAAACGGAGACCCAGCAAAGCCAAGGGCACGTGGTTGGGGGGTGGCAATAATGGAATTCAAATCACATCTCTTTTTAAAAATATATATTCTTATTGATTTCAGAGAGGAAGGGAGAGGGGGAGAGAGAAATAGAAGCATCAATGATGAGAGAATCACTGATGGGCTGCCTCCTGCACGGCCCCTCACTAGGATCGAGCCCACAGCCTGGGCATGTGCCCCCGACCGGGAATTGAACTGTGACCTCCTGGTTCATAGGTTGATGCTCAACCACCGAGCCACGCCAGCCGGGCAAAATCCACGTCTCTTGATGATTTCCTTCTATGAACACCCGAGGAGCCTCTCTCTATACCAGGGACCGGGGACCCCCAAACAAAGGACTGTGTCCCTGCCCCTCGGGGGCCATCCAGTCAAGGGGGGGCACACTCAGCAGCACAGTTATACATGGGGGTGGTGACAATGGGAGAGAACATTCCAGAAGAGGGGCCCGCTCTACCAGGCACTGGGCCATGCAGCAACACGCAGGCTGAGGGGACCGTCGAGGGATTAGAGAAAGGCCGTGATTAGAGAAAGGGGACGAGACTGGAGAAGTGAGCAGGACGGGGGCCGGGAGAGCCTTGGAGGACTCGGTTTTTATCAAGAAGGAAGCCGGTGGAGGGACTGGAAAAAGCTGGGAGAGCAGCACTCAGCCCCTGGGGAAGATCTGTGGGCAGAGGCAGGGGCAGCGGGTACTGAGGGGGTGATAGCTAGTCATCCAGCCCTGACGAGGTAGCCGGAGGTCCTCCCAGCCTGCTGGCCAGAGCGTTCACCGTGAGGGCTGAGGGGGACTCTCCGTAGCATCCTCCCTCCTCTGGTTAAGGTCTCGCCTCCGCCCGACCCCTGTCCCCGCTCTGTGCCTGGCCAGGTGTGGGGAGGAAGCCTCACGATGGATGCCCTCCTCCCGAGGTGCATCCTAAGAATGACAGTGCCTGACATTCCTGGGTTTTGCTTCTGCAAAATGAATGCCTTCTGTCGTGGGTTGAATTGTTCTCACCACCGCCCCACCCCCACCCCAAAAGAGAGAGAGTCCAATCCCCATCCCGGTCTGAACGTGACCTTATTTGGCAGTTGGGTCTTTGCAGATGTAGGTAAGGATCTCCAGGTGAGATCACCCTGGAATTAAGGCGAGTTCTAGACAGAGGACAAGAGGGAGAGGTGACACACCCAGCAGAGGCCGAGAGAAGAAGCCCACGGTTCCAGGAGGAGACAGGTCAGCTGCTGACCGTGGGAGGCCAAGGAAGGCCGGCCAGCGCGGAAGCCAGGAGGGCGGCCTGGGCCTGCCCACACCCTGATCCCGGACCTCGGGCCTGCAGAACTGTGAGACAATCAATGCCTGTGGTTTTGAGCCACCACCGTTGTGGGCAGCCCCGGGAAACGAATTCGTCTTCACTTAGACTCAGTTCCAGAAGACCTGGCCCCTTTTACAGATCAGCAAATAGAGACACAGAGAAGCTGGGTGACTGCCAAGGTCCCTCAGCTGATTAGTGTCCACTGGGAGCCTGACCTGTTCTCCCACCCGGCAGGCCTTCTGTCTGGTTCAGACCGGCCCGGGCGGGGGGGGGGGGGCTGTACCCCCTTCCACCCATTTACTAGTATATGACCACCTCAGGCTCCCAGGTGAGCTGGCGCCCACTGTCTGGCAATGCCCTGGAGGAGGGCTCCGGGGCGTCCCCTCTGGACCCTCACAATCTGCTCTTCTGTGCCCGGAGCTCATCCCAGCCCGGTGTCTGCGCTGATTAATGACCTGGTGGCTGCCGAGTGCAGGTGTGGATCGCTATGCACACGGAGGTGTCAGTTTTAATCACCATCATCATGAGCCTCGCATCCACCTCCAGCTGCAGGTTTCCTGAGTCATCACCGGCCCCCTTCCCTTCATACACGAGCTGCTCTGGAAAGCAGGGGTGCGGGAGCCCTAGAATCCTCTGGCCGCCGGGAACTGGCAGAGGCCACTGTGCCCAACCTCCCGGCCTCGATCAACCCCGGCCAGTGCTCTGCTCGGCAGAATGTGGCCACACCCTCCTTTCCAGTCTCTGTGCATCCGCCTCACTCCCCACTCGGGCACCCTGAAAAGGTGGCATCGGCCAGGCCCGGTTCAAATCCTGTTGCTAAGTGGCTGTAGGACACCAGGGAGCAGTCCTTCTTCCCAGGAGGGCCGTGCTGTGAGGCACCCGGGACGGGGGGTGGCCTGTGCTCAAGGCCCCAGGTGTCCTGCCCCAGGTCCCTGACGCCTCCCCTCCTTCAAGGTGGTTGTTCCCAAGGAGCTGTGGACAGGGGTTCCAGGCTGTTGGGATGCTATTGAGGGGGCCTGGCAGCTGGGGACCATGGTGTTGGGAGGGGGTGGGGGGCAGGAGGAGCCCCAGTGGCCCACAGCTGCTGCCGCTCAGCCCCAGGAGCAATGAGCCGGTGTGCCCTGCCCTCTCCATTGCTCTCGGTGCCCCAGAGGGAGAGGGAGAAAGAGGGAAAAAAAATCTGAAGATTCCAATATGCTACCCTCCTGGCTTTGAAGATGGAGGGTGGGGCCATGAGCCAAGGAAAGCGAGTGGCCTCTAAGAGCTGGAGGGGCAAGGGCACGAACTCTGCCCTGGAACCGGGAGGGCAGACCCGCTGGCACCGCGATCTGGCTCCCTGAGAGCCATTCCGGCCTTCTGACCCCCAGGACCGGGAGATAAGAAATGCCTGCTGTTCGAAGCTAGTAACTTTGTAGCAACAATAGGAAACTAAGACAGAGCAGGAAGTAACCATTCGATGGGCAGTTGCACCACACAGTGTGGGAGATGGAGGTGTGTGCAGAGCTGCCACCAGACCACTCCGCTCCCTCCCGCCCGGCCTGGGTGTCAAGGAAAGGTCTCTGGGAGGACGGAGTGGAGTGAGACAGAGCTGCGGACAGGCGGAGCGCTGCCACGGCGGTGGGGGACCCTGGTCCCAGCAGAAGCAGCCGGGTCCGGGGGGGGGGGAGGGGGGAGGCCCCTCCTAGTTCTCGGGCAAGTCCGCTGCTGAGAGAGGCGCATGGGGCTGGGAGCTGGCTAGGGCAGGGCCTTGAACCCGAGGCCTTGGGAGTCACTGAAGGAGCCAGCCTTTCAGCTTTGGGTCTGATTTGCATTTTAGAAAGAGCTGTCTAGCCGGCTGGTGTGGCTCAGTGGTTGAGCATTGACCTATGAACTAGGAGGTCACAGGTCGATTCCGGGTCAGGGCACATGCCTGGGTTGTGGCTTGATCCCCAATAGGGGGCGTGCAAGAGGCAGCCGATGAATGATTCTCTCTCATCATCGATGTTTCTATCTCTCTCTCCCTCTCCCTTCCTCTCTGAAATCAATAGAAAACACAACAAAAAACAGCCCTCTGGCTGCAAACCTGGAGCCACACTCCATGGAAGGGCCAGAGAAGGGACTCCAGCAGCGAACAAAAGTGCCCGAATCCTCAAGTGGCTGAAAAACAGCCGCAGGAAAGAGGATCCCACTCTATTCCCCAAGGCCCTGAAGGAGTCTGTGCTGGTAAAATAGAAAAATGTGGAAGGTCCAGATAAGCCACAATCATTAGCAAAGCTCTCATGTCCGTCCCTAGGTCTGGAGGGACGGGCTGTGTCCCTCCTGGAGCGGTGGACCCTG